GGTTCTGTCCTCGTGTGCCGGTTCACAAGAGCCGATACAAAAGACCGAACAATACACAGCAGCTAACCAATGACTCCTAAACAAAGAAAGAACAATGCTAATTCCCTTGTGAACCGGTACACCAGGACAGAACCCTTAACTCTTTCTAGATTTTTTGCATAATTTGCTGTGACTGAAACTTTGCCAATCCCGTGAAGTTATTTCGCCGCACGGGCCACGCAGGTATGTCGAGCAACTGGTACTTTAGCTAATTAGCTAACCGGAAACACAGTGAACGACTTTACTACTAAGATTAGATTTTGGCGCGCACAGAAAGCAGAAAGCAGAAAGCTACGCAGTCGAAAGCGCCAGTTGTATATGTCCGTGTTAAAACACGCGAAAGGACTCTAAAGCACACTTCACTCTGATTGGGCAGAAAAACACAAAGATTTTCTGGCACCAATCAGATGGCAGAACGACTGCGACCGTTTGGAACTAGTCTTGCAAGACAATGTCCCCAGGGGCTCTTCATGCCCTAACTTGAAATCGACCCACTGCCCTTGGGTCTCCGAGGATGGTAAATACCTGATCATGCGAGAAGACAGATCCAACTGATCCAATACTGCTTGACCTAACAGACTTTCACTAGGTTCTACGTTGACAGGAATGGTTCGGGCAACCTTAGAATTTCTACTTGGAAACTGAAAACAAAATTCCAGGAAACTGTCCTCCTGTTTCATTAGTCCCATTATTGACATCAGGTGCCGAGTTACGAAACGTAAATCGCACTCCCTCGCACTGCACTGGTGTTTGCCCTTTCCCGCCGTGCCACGATGAAGGGCCGTTAATGAGCGACTTTACCTTGTACTCTTTATTTGCCTTCAAAATAACTGGACGATCGAACATTACATCAAAGCCGTAATAAGCATGCGTATCGCTTTTTTCTGATGCATAATTTCCTGCTCGACTCACAAGCGAAGTGTTGCCTATGGGATCAACAATGTCTGTTGTAACTGTATACTTGCCACCTTCGGAGCCAAAATGCTGAACTCCGTAAAGTTTAACAGGCTTCTCGACAGTGAGAATGATAGAGTCAGCAGTCCCACTGTAACGCCAGGAACCCCGCGGCGCTGGCGCACAAAACGTTTGAAATCTGAAGCATCGGTGCGTAGTAGGATCAATTCTGCAGGCTAGTAAGAACGGTGAAGGAGTAGTTAAAACACCGTTGTAATACTTTATCATGTTTCCAAACTCTTCATAACTCAAGATTCGCGAATCAAATACGACAGATGCGAAATCCTTCTGTGGTATCAACGGAAAACGTATTCCTTTGACAATATCTTCTCCAAGAAGTCGTCTCTTTATCCCTCCGTCGGAAATCATCCCTTGTCTTTCACATTCCTTTGTGGCCCAGTGATCAACAGCTTTGAACAGTTCCACTTCCTCTACATTCAACCGTTCTCTCTTCACTAAAGATTCTACAACAGATCGCTCAACTGAAACAAATTCGGCTGAAGTCATCGCTTCTTGGGTCTGCTTCTCAATTAATTCCCAGCATCGATCTTCTAAATCTTTATCTTCGAATTTCTGTGCGTGCGGCAGAATACAAAACACGTTCGAGGCCTTCAGGTTGTCGCGAAGATACTCTGTGCATTTCTCGGCAAGCGAAGGCACCATGTATTTATTCGCCAAGTACAACACTTGCATCACATTATATCCTGTTAAATTCACTTTGTCACTGTACAAGAAACAGAACAGCTCCAATAGACTCTCGTACTCACAGTCAGGCAGCTCAATAGAGTCTTTGTTCTCAGCCATTTGACCATAAAACATGGCAAAGAACACAGGACTACTGATTGCGAGAACAAACTTGTGAGCTGGGATCACCTTAGTTTCGCTTTCACCAGTCGACACTGGAACGACAAACTTCACATCACTCAGCAAATCGTTGTTGAAAATGAACGCAGTTCTTTCGACGAGAGTTGAAAGTTTCGTTTGCCAGTTATCTTCAGCAGCCATTGCTATGTTTGTTCTTGGTTCTCTCTACAAATGAAATCCTATATACTATGTACCTTTGCTGCAAAGGGAAACAGTTCATGCAACACAGTTGTTCCTCGAGTCACGCAAGAGTAAATTCCTTGTTTCCAGGCCCTCCGAGTCTTTGCACGCGAAGTAATAATAGATCGGTTTCAGTCACGTGACCGATATTTTTATGCGCCGCCATGTTTGTGCACCTCGCAGAACGTAAACAACTCGAAGTAAGATGGTTTTATGCTTGATTTTTGGCTGCGGAACGAAAAGTGGAAGAGATGAAGGTGCTCAGTTTTCAAAATTTCCTGAAGTAATAACTAACGAAGGGGAAGAAGCAAGAAAATTGTCAGAATTGAGAAGAGAACGATGGATTTCGGCGATAAGTAGAGACGACTTGACAGAATCACATAAAAAACATGGTCGCGTCTGCGGGAAACATTTTGTTTC